TTTTTTTTTTTTTTTTTTTTTTTTTTTTTTTTTTTTTTTTTTTTTTTTTTTTTTTCTCTATGTCTTGGAAATCAGGTTGGGCTTCATGCGGAGTATGCCTATGCTAAGAGTCTGGCTCGATTTGCTGCAACACTTGGTCCTATCGCTTGGAAAGTTGCCTCCCAGAGGATCGAGCAGGTCGTACCTGTTGGATGTAAATTCGGACGTGGTTGGGTTGGAGAATACGAGCCACTTCCAACTCCTATATTAATGTTTGAGAACCACAAGCAGAAGGAACTTGGTTTAAATCGTAACTTGCATTCTACCAGAGAATTTAGAAAGGATGGAAAGCCTTCAGATACTCCTTTGCCTAAGATGGAACATTCTTTTAGTGCACCATGTACAGAAGTGAATGGATTTGCTAGAGGATCCACCTTAGATGGGAAATCATCTTTCCTTAGGTCCACCACCCCAAATCCTGGTCCATCTCCACAGCAAAACCTGCAGACCAAGAATTTTACTGAGGTAGAGAAGGTTAAAAAGCAAGTCGAGGTAAATTCCTTGCCTTCACCAAGACAAAATAAAGTTGATCTTGGTGTAGAGAAGCAACTTCCAACCAATTCGAATATGTCTACGTCTAGATCTAGAGATATGTCGTCGGTAAACTTAAATCTTGTTCAATCTGCTCCTTATAAACTGCCCGGTGTTAATGGCGTTGCAACTGGTGGACTGCCTAATGGAAAATTCCCGAGCAATTGTTTGAATAGTCCACGAGCTGCTTTATTGTCGTCTAGCTTGCCTTCTCAAACAGCCCCTGTGGCAACTTCCCATGGACAGGATCTGGGTCCTGGCAAGCCAGTACAGTTGATGAGAATGATGTCTGAAAGAGCCCCAAAACAAGAGAACTCATCCAATCAATCCTCATGTGATTCTCCGCCAGTTTTGTCATCAGTCCCTTCTGCTATGGGAGATGATTCGAATAATGCTGCAGCAGTAGCTTCTCGTGCGTGGATGTCGATTGGGGCTGGAGGGTTTAAACAAGTCAGAGATACTTCCACTCCTAGAAGTCAAATCTCTGCAGATTCACTGTATAATCCAGCTCGGGAATTTCATCCGCAAATGGCACGAGCGTGGGGGGAGTTTCGTGCTGGAGGTAATCAGCTTCTATCTGAGAGGAACAATTTCCCTATGCAGCCATTTGTTTCACAAGCTTCTCTTGTACCAAATGAACAACAGCTGCAAAACCGGTCCATGATTTACCCTCAGCTAATCCAGGCTGACATGTCTAAGTTCCAGTTGCAGTCGACATGGCGAGCTCTCAGCCCACATAACCAGCCAAGGAAGAAACAGGAAATGCTTCCTCCCGACTTGAATATCGGTTTTCAATCACCCGGGTCTCCCGTGAAACAATCGTCTAGTGTTTTGGTCGACTCCCAGCAGCCAGACCTGGCCTTGCAACTTTAAAAGTGAGAGCCAGTCAGTGAACAAGATTCTTACTAGAAACAATGCAACCATTGGGGATACAACTGAGACAACCTTCAATCTATGTCGCACCGAATATGAGAACAAACAGATTATCTGTACAACACAGACGGTTTGCATTCTGAACAAACTCGAAAATCTAACCCGTCTTCAATCTCGTATTAATAGGTTGGAGAACTCGTCCTAATTTATATATTGGGACCGTGGAATGTCCACAGCAAGCAATATCTAGCTGGATGTGCGATGCTTCTGCTGCCCTGAAGAGAGTCCCAGACTGGTCCCAGATAATAGGTACTTCCCCCCACCATTGAAAATGAAAGAAAAAAGTAATTGATTTGCTTGTGTCAATTGTTGTGAGGTGCTGAAAAGTTTCTTATGTGACAAATTGAGGATACAAGTTTAGTTTTGCCTTGTAGAATAGAATAGTCATAGGTGGATGGATGAATGAATGAATGAATTAGATCTCTGTAATTACTTTGATAAAATCCCACTTCCCATGTAGTGTTCTTGCTGCAAAATTTACCCACCAATGCCATAATGTTGTAACTATTGTATTCCATTCATGCTGTGTTTTTGCCATGATTTTGATTGTTCATTGCCTCACCATGTCCTCTCTGATTTGGAGGAGGAGGGAGGGGGTGTGTTCATCCACTTAAAAAGTGGATATTCATATGATTTGATTGATGATAAGCTGAGTCTAAATTGGATATGAAATTCGAAACTCCATGTTTGGATGAAAAGGCTTATCCAAGAGAGATTACGTTTGAATTGCATTGATTTCGATTGAGATTTGTCGCATATTTTGACGTTCTAGTCGATAATATAACATATTCATAGATCGTGTTGCCACATTTCATATCCAATTTAGACTCAGCTTATCATCAATCAAATCATATGAATATCCACTTTCTAAAGCATCTACCATTTCAGAGAAGTGGATGGGGTGGGTGTTCATCATCTGATATGGTAGATGCTTTAGAAAGTGGATATTCATATGATTTAGTTGATGATAAGCTGAGTCTACCTTGGATATGAAATTCTAAACTCCATGTTTGGATGAAAAGGCCTTATCCAAGGGAGATTACGTTTGAATTGCATTGATTTCGATTGAGATTTGTTGCATAGCATTTAAACTTTTGACGTTCTAGTCGATAATATAACATATTCATAGATTGTATTGCCACATTTCATATCCAATTTAGACTCAGCTTATTATCGATCAAATCATATGAATATCCACTTTCTAAAGCATCTACCATATCAGAGAAGTGGATGGGGCGGGTGCTCATCCACTTCTCTGATATGGTAGATGCTTTAGAAAGTGGGTATTCATATGATTTGGTTGATGATAAGCTAAGTCTAAATTAGATATGAAATTCGAAACTCCATGTTTGGATGAAAAGGCCTTATCCAAGAGAGATTACGTTTGAATTGTGATTGATTTCGATTGAGATTTGTTGCATAGCATTTAAACTTTTTTGACGTTTTACTCGAGAATATAACATATTTATAGACTGTATTGCCACATTTTGATTTCGGTTATTGATGGTTATACAGAGTGGCTCATTGCACTGATGTATTTTGTGTTAATTTTTCCGCCTTGCTTCGTAACAGTTGGGTGTTCTTGTTGGTGAATTTATTTCAGGTTAAAATATCAGTTTGGTCTATGAACTTAGAATTTCGCTCCATTTTGTTCTCTATATTTTTAAATGTCTAATTTTAATTTTTATATGTTCAATATGAATTGAATATGGTTGTTAATTTATTGATGATTTTTTTTAAAAAATATTAAGTCTCAATTAGTTCTTTTTATAAATCTTATAATTATATTCATGCTTGTCTTCTTTATATTATTATTATTATTATTATTATTTGACCATTTTATTTATTAAAAAGAATTAAATTTAAGATTTTCTTTTGAATATTATAAAATTCATATCATTGACTGACCCACTTTAGTTGAACCCATTTCTCTTTAACTAATTATTATTTATTATTTATTTTTAATGTTGCTCAAATTTTTACGACTAAAAATAAAATTTTATGTTCATTTTATACTTTTAAATAATCAAATTTTCACTTTATATAATTTTATGTTACTCCCTTTTATTAATCTCTATAATTAAAAAAAAAAAAGAATTTGAGATTGTTTATCAATTAAAATTCGAAGCTTTTGTAAGTAAATCAATTGCCACCCATTAGGCCTTTCTGTTATACCACCATGCCCTTAGGCCTCAAAAATGCCGGAGACACTGACTAGAGGCTAGTGAACAAGCAATAGATCGGTAGAAGTGTATGTGGATGATATGTCACTAAAAAGCCGAACTACCCAATAGCTTGCTTTTGATCTTCGGGAGGTCTTAGAGATATTGAGTTGTATACGCATCTCAGTGAGTGAATATGAGTGTTATCGAATATAAACTTATAGGTAGGGGCTTACTGCCTCGGTATGGATGAAAGATCGAACCATCAACTTTTGAAATTATAATTGGTGTTTTATTTAGTGAGCTATATTCAAATTGATATTGATCGCATCTTCTCTCTCCTCATCCTTGCTCGTTAATTTTTTAATATAAAGTTATATATAATTTAAGGTTAATAAAAACTATATAGCTTTTATTGTGGTTGGTGAAAGTTTCAATTTTAGTTTCAAAGGTCATAATAGTTTAGTAAACACCAACATTATAAGTTTACTTTGACCAAAGTCAAGAAAATTGACCTTTTTTTTTATGTTGAAAATGTGATTTTTTTTTTAAAGTTATAATTTATGTAGCATTATTATTTCTAGCTATATTTATACGTTAAAAATTCACCTTTCTTGAATCGTCCTCTTTTTAGCTATATTTTTTTCGGTTCTCTGACTGTAACCGATGACCTCCACCTTTGTGTTTTCTGTTATTCATAGCTAATTTGGATTAAAAAAAAGAAAAAAAAATTGAACTTAAGCATTTGTTTGTCTAACGTTATTACCTAACGTTATGTATTTTGTCACTCGTTGGTCGTTAGATTGGACTTTGGGAAGCATGTGGTTAGTTCCCTGTTAGCCATTTAATTAGTTTTTGATAATCATGTATACCGTTCACTCCGACAATGCGTAGTGATATTTTTTATTCTTATCAATGTACATCATTTTGTCTATCTCAATCAAAATTTGATACGTGCGTAAACCATAAAATATTCATACACTGATATAAAAACCCATCGATCTAAAATCAAAATTTAGAACTTTAGGTTAAAATAACTCTGCACTCCAAACACACCGTTCTTAAGCTAACGACAATAAAAAGCTGATCATGTCTACTAGCGGTGAGCTTGAGTTGTTACATTTGGCTTAAAAACTCTAATTCAACACTCCAAACAGGCCCGTAAATTTAACGACCCGAGCACATGCACTTATCAAATTTGGCTATCACATCCTCCATAAATATCCAAAATGCAACTCTTTGATGATCACTTGGCCACGAAAACATCGAAAATTCAAAGAAAAAATTACTATAACGTGGAAAATATGTTCATTTTGATTATATAAAAATGTTGGAATTTAAAATCATAAATAAACGACAAAGCTTTATGACCGAACATCCTTAAATGTCCAAAAAACCCATTAGATTTTCACATCTCTGTTTCTCTCTGTTTCTCTCTGTTTTGGTTAATTTGATCTCTAATGGCGATTTCTCTCAATCTTCTGCAACTTCATGGAAATCCATCACTACCCAAGTTCCCAAATTCGAATTGGCTCCGTCCGGCGGTTTATTTCCGAGCTCCGGCGAGGGCGACGGTGGTCATGTCGCAGATCACTCCGTCGTACTGGGCGGCGATAAATGAAGATATTGACGATCATCTCCGGCGGGTCATTATTGCGAAGGACCCACCGGAAGTATACGAGCCATTGAGTCATTTTGTCTTCTCCGCCCCACGAAATTCCGCTGCAGCAATGTGTATTGCTGCCTGCGAGCTCGTCGGCGGCCGCCGGGATCAAGCTATGGCGGCGGCTACCGCACTCCAGCTCATCTATGCAGCGACGTACACTCGGGAGTATCCTCCACTGACGGCGCGTGGGAGTTCAAACGCCGCCGTGGTTGACCGTGTTTATGGCCCAAACATCCAGCTGCTGACTGGTGTTGGAATAGCTCCGATTGGGTTTGAGATTCTAGCTGGGTCGTGTGACTTGAGCGAGAGCGGGTCGGAGCGGGTTCGCCGCGTGATGGCGGAAATGGCTCGGGCAATGGGGTCAGAGGGGTGGATTGGGGGACAATTCAAGGAATTAGAGGAGGTGACGGCGGCGGTGGAGACGGAGGAAGTTATCGAGATGACGGAAGGTGAGCTACACGCGCGTGGAGGCGCGTGTGGTGCAATATTGGGAGGTGGAAATGAAGAGGAAATAGAGAAGATGAGGAAATATGGAAGAATTGTTGGAATGGTGAAGGGATTGTCAAAGAAAGTGTTTGGAGGGAAAGAAAATGAGAGAAAAAGAGAGAAAATTAATGAGTTGAAGGCTTTGGCTTTCAAGGAATTGGAGGGTTTCAAAGGAGAAAAAGTGGATCAAATGTGTAATTTCTTTGATTTCGAGGGGCTTTAGTGTAAATTTGTAACTGTATATCTCGATCCGAACGTTCAAATCTTCGTACCTCTTTTGTTGTACTAAGAAAATAAATTTTATATCATGGGTCACGTCGTTTTTTAAGGGTCTCGTAAAATAAACGAGGTCTGAAGTCACTGTAAATCGTATTAACAGTGTAATCGGTTGGTATGTTTAAATCTAATATGAATTCGAGGATCAATTACCTAATTACATGGAGTTAATCTCGTGGGACCATAGTATCTTTTCAAAATATTGAAAACGTTCCTAATAACTCGTTCTTATCTAAAGAGATGGAGCATGATTCGTCATATGTAGGGTTGGTTTGATCAGTGAGTTTGGATAATACGGTACATTTTCATATGATAAATTTTGTAACAGCCCAGATCCACCGCTAGCAGATATTGTCCGGTATATTTTCATATGATAAATTTTGTAACGGCCAGATCCACCGCTAGCAGATATTGTCCGGTATATTTTCATATGATAAATTTTGTAATGAACTAGATCCACCGTTAATAGATATTGACCTCTTTGGGTTTTCCCTTTCGGGCTTCCCCTCAAGGCTTTAAAACGCGTCTGCTAGGGAAAGGTTTCCATACCCTTTATAAATGGTGGTTTGATCTCCTCCCCAACCAACGTGGGACATCACAGATTTAGACGTGGGGTATTTGATAGGGCAGGTGTTAAGGGTATCAAAGTTTGGTACAGGGTATGTCCTCGTATTATCCAATTCTTGATTTGGTGTTACGGGGTTAGTTCATATTTATTTTATTTCTGTAGCAATTCAAGTCCACTGCCAGTAGATATTGTCTTTTTTGGACTTTCTCTTTCGGGTTTTCCCAAAGCATACCGCTAACAGATATTATTCTCTTTGGGCTTTCCCTTTCGAGCTTCCCCTCAAGGTTTTTATAACGCGTCTGTTCGGAAGAGGTTTCCACACCCTTATAAAAAATGCTTCGTTCTCCTTTCCAATCAACGTGGGATCTAACAATTTTGGTCTCTAAACTTTCAAACAATAACAATAACCGTCCCTCAACTTCTATAATGTCCATTTTGGTCTCTAAAAAAACTCATTTCGGTCTTTAGTAACATTATAAGTTTTACACCCTACGACGACATTCTTTTCTTTCATTATTTAGCTGACCCATTTCGGCAAGTCATTCAAGTTCGTGGGATTGACTTCCTCCTTATACAAGGACGGGGCTTAGTTAAGTAGAACCAAGGGTCTAATAGCTGAGCTACGTATGTATGCTTACCAATCTTGTCCTGAGAGCGGGGGGACGGGACAAGAAACAACTCTGAAGAAAGCTATTTTAGTTCCCAATGTTTCTCCACGCCCAACGAGATGCGTCAACCTCGGGATGCTTTACTCCTAACCCCACAAAGTTCTTATTTCCACCAAAAACTAGCTTACCCAATACTTGTAGTTCGAATATTCAAGGACGAAAACAGTTAAAAGTTTCGGGACTAAACACAGATATTTAGAAAATTCAGATACTAAAACAAAAGAAATATCTCTGTTTCGGGACTAAAGTGAACGTTTTCATAATACAGGGACCAAGATAAAATATTGTCAAAAATTCCGAGACCAAAACGAGATTTAAACCCTATTTTATTTTCTCGTCTTTAATTACTCACCTCGCCAAAAGACCTAAATACCCTTGGGAAATGGCAAACATAAAATAAAGTGTTCTACTTTTCTTTGAATTTTGTATTAATTATAGGTAATGAGTTGCTTTCATTGATGATGACAATGTTGAGGGGAATTAATTTTAATATTTAAGTGGGAAATTTTAATGGCTCAAATTTATTTTGTTATAATATCATAATTAATATTGATTTATTGCGCTTAAAAATTAATTATTTTTTAATTATAAAATTAATTACCTAATTTACAAATTTAATTATAGCTTCACATTTTACTATAATTTTTTTTAACAAATTTTAAAATTAGTTTTTGCATATTAATTTGTTATAATTCATTAGTTTATGGAATATAATTTAGTTTTTTTAAATTATAAATTATAATAAATTAATTTTTTATATATATTTTATTTGTCTTATTATTATATTTTAGTGTTTTTTCTGGGCCATCATTTTGTTTTCGTTTATTACCCTTTATTTCGGGAGTCAAAAGAATAAACTTTGGGACTCCTGATAAGGGTGTGGAAACCTTTCCCTAGGAGATGCGTTTTAAAGCCTTGAGGGGAAGCCCGTAAAAGAAAGCCTAAAGAGAACAATATCTGCTAGCGGTGGGCTTGGGTCGTTACAAATGATATTAGAGTCAGACACCGGACGATGTGCCAGCCTTCTTGCTGTTACTCGAAAAGGGGTAGACACGAGGTGGTATGCCAGTAAAGACGTTGGCTCCAAAGGGGTGGATGTGGTGAGGATTCCACGTTGATTGAAGAAAGGAACAAGTGCCCGTGGGGCCCTGAACGGGTGAACTGTGATGTCCCACATTAGTTGGTGGGGGTCCCACGATTGGAGAAAGTAATGAGTGCAAATGAGGCTTAGAAGGGAGGTGAATTGTGATGTTCCACATTGGTTGGTAGAGGTCCCACATCGAATGGAGGAAGGGACGAGTGCCAGCGGGCCCCGAAGGGAGTGAATTGTGATGTCTTGCTTCCCGTGTCAGACTCGTTTTAAAGTTTTTTTTTTTGTCATAATGTTAAATTTTGATTTTTTGTTTACCCTTTTTAATAAAAATTATATTGTAAAATAGAAATAATGCGTTAGAAAATTTTTGTCTCGAGAAATTATTTTTTTAAAAAAAATAAAAACACGAGAAAATATTTTTCATAACGAACCCAATCAATGCGCATTTCTCATGGGGTTTTCCTTCCCAATTTTCGCAAAAATAAATGGAATATTTAATCGGGATAGAGATGGAAAAGACTTCCTTGTCCCTCTCGTCCCGTGGAAATCTTGTAGCTCATAAGAATTCGAATAATTAATACAATAATTTATTATCGGGTTTATCAATCTTGATCACGTCCTATCCTCATTTATTTTTTAACACCCAATGTATTTATGATTTTGTATTATATTTACATTAATATTGATGATGGTGAAAGCCTCGTTTCCCTAATCATATTAGTTGAGCTAGTTAAAACATTATATCACGACGTTGCTCGGGATTCTCAAATCCTATGAAATCTCTTAATGAGAATATTTTTTTAAATACGATAAAAATAAATCGTCAATTTTTATATAACTTTAAAAAATATATAATTTAATTTAATACAAAGATGTGGGAGATTGATGGTTACTAGCTACTTGCAATGCCATTTGCAAAAGTCTAGCATTCCAACTTTGAATAATTTCCTCCTTTTTCAAAAAGATAACAAATTATTGGTTTTGTGCTTCATGATTGAACCAACCATGTTATAAAAATATATTAAATTAACTACACTTACCCAGATATTCACGGTCGGGAGATAGAGACGTCAATCTTTTTCTTGTTTTGGTTTGTTACGTATTTTAACCGATGTGGGATCTCACAATCCACCCCCTTGGAGACCTAGCGCCCTTGCTGGCACTCTGTCTGGGGCCTGGCTTTGATACTGTCATCTTTGGAGGATTGTTGGGAGTGAGTCTCACATTAGCTAATTTAGAGAATGATCATGGATTTATAAGTAAAGGAATACATCTATGTTGGTATGAGACCTTTTGGGGAAGCCCAAAGTAAAGTCATGAGAGCTTATGCTCAAAGTGGACAATATCATACAATTGTGGAGATTCGTGATTTCTAACATGGTATCAGAGTCATGCCCTAAACTTAGCCATGATGGTATAAGAGTCATGCCCTAAACTTAGCCATGACGGTATAAGAGCCATGCCCTAAACTTAGCCACGAGGGTATAAGAGTCATGCCCTAAACATAGCCATGACGGTATAAGACTCATGCCCTAAACTTAGCCACGAGGGTATAAGAGTCATGCCCTAAACTTAACCACGAGGGTATAAGAGTCATGCCCTAAACTTAGCCACGAGGGTATAAGAGTCATGCCCTAAACTTAACCACGAGGGTATAAGAGTCATGCCCTAAACTTAGCCACGAGGGTATAAGAGTCATGCCCTAAAGTTAGCCATGAGGTATAAGACTCATGCCCTAAAGTTAGCCATGAGGGTATAAGACTCATGCCCTAAACTTAGCCATGATGGTATAAGACTCATGCCCTAAACTTAGCCATGATGGTATAAGACTCATGCCCTAAACTTAGCCATGATGGTATAAGCGTCATGCTCTAAACTTAGCCATGATGGTATAAGCGTCATGCTCTAAACTTAGCTATGAGGGTATAAGAGTCATGCCCTAAACTTAGCCATGACGGTATAAGAGCCATGCCCTAAACTTAGCCATGGTATAAGAGCCATGCCCTAAATTTAGCCATGGTGGTATAAGAGTCATGCCCTAAATTTAGCCATGATGGTATAAGAGTCATGCCCTAAATTCTAAATTTAGCCATGATGGTATAAGAGTCATGCCCTAAACTTAGCCATGATGGTATAAGAGTCATGCCCTAAACTTAGCCATGACGACAATAGAATCCTCAAATATCGAACAAAGAATTGTGAGCCTGGTGTACTTTGTTCGATGGCTCCACAGTAGTGTACTTTGAGTCTAGAGAATGATCATAGGTTTATAAGTAAAAGAATACATCTCTATTGATACGAGGCCTTTTAAGGAAGCCTAAAGCAAAGCCATGAGAGAGTATTCTCAAAGTGGACAATATCATACTATTGTCGAGATCCGTGATTCCTAACATGGTATTAGAGTCATGCCCTAAACTTAGCCTTGACGATAATAGAATCCTCAAATATTGAACAAAGAATTGTGACCCTGGTGTACTTTGTTCGAGATGAGGATTGTTGGGAGTGAGTCCTACATTGGTTAATTTAGAGAATGATCATGAGTTTATAAGTAAAGGAATACATCTTTATTGGTACGAACAATATCATACCATTGTGGACATCTTTCACCTAACCTCTAGTTAATATCTAATTTTAATAATAATTTGAAATATAATTAAAATTATAAAACATATAACTTATATTTGAGTGAAAATTTAAGAACTAAATTAAATAAGAACAATATGTGAAATGTCAAAAATACCCCCACCAAAAGGGATTATTCACAGAACACTCAAAGGCTCATGACTACGATTCGAGAAAACCAGTTTTGTTAAGAACGGCGTTTCTTACTCTACTCAGATCCCTCCCTTTCAAAGTTCTTCCAATTCCTTCAAACACGGAGAACGACGAAATCTGAGCCCTAGCCCGTCGCTTCGCAATCAATTCATGCGGCGGAATTCTGTTATCAAATCCTTCCTCATCTTCATCGTCGCCGTCACTGGCAACACCATCGCTCCAAGAATCATCGTGCTCCGAAGCGAAATTCCTAAGGTTTTTAATTCCGTTAGGTTTGAACCACTGCGGAATCGATCGAGGAGCCGATCTTGAAGCAATCTGAGCATTTCCGCCACCGTTCGACCTCGGAATCATTCTGGAAGCGGACGGAAGAAGGTGATTTACGGAAGCGGATTCGAGAATCAACGAATCGGAGAAGAAACTCGAATCATCGGAGGTTTTTGAAGTCGTTTTCGATTTCTCTTTGAGAACTTCCCAGACGTCCTCTTCTTCGAAATCGCCGTTTCTGAAAGACCGCCACAGAGCGCTGCTCTGCCTGCTTCCGCCATTTCTTCCGCCCGCCATGTTTACAATTGAAGATGAATCTGTGGAATCTTAAGCTTTTGGAGGAGGTTTTGTGAGGAATTTGAAGAGAGATTGCAGTGATTTTTAAAGAGCGATAAGGAAATGGAGAAGAAAAGGAGGAGAAAAAGGGGCGCTGTCGTTATTCGTTGTGTTTACCTTTCTGAAGACGACGTCGTTTTCTCTGGTTTCTTTCTTCTAATGTTTTTTAATATAAAGTAAAAATATGCAGTTATTTTTTAAAAATACATATTAAATTTACAAGATTTTAAAAAATAAAAACTAACCATTTAGATTTTAAATGTGAATTTTGAGTGATGGATGAGTTAAATCCATTTTTTTTTAATACATATTAATTAACCTCGAATAAGTTAAACGATAAAATTAATAATTTTAAAATTAAATGAGATTACACTGACTTAAATTTATATAAAATTTAAAAAATGATCGAGTTACCTAATATTTTTATAAAAATAATGCAATTAGCATCGAGCATATTTTTATTAATTTTTTTTTAAAAAGTATATAAATAAATAAAAATTATAATGTCCTAAATTATACCGGTTAATGTTTTAATTTTGTGTAGCGTTTTTTCTTTTAATCTTTTTTAAGAATAAATTTATGCTTTTCTCGAACGTTTTGTCCATGAACCTAAAACCGAACTGATTCCGTTCGGGTTCAGAAAAATGAACTCAACCCTACTCGAAATGTTAATCCAACCCAACCCAACCGTTATAGTTCGAGTTGGGTTGGTCCGGATTGTCGGGTTGATTGTACACCTCTAATGTTTAATTAAAAATAAAAATAAAAAATTACTATTTCTTTTTTTTTTAATTAAAAGTAAATATAAACATGTTTGGTAATTATTTTTAGTTATCTAAAATTTTAAATTATAATATAAAAAGTCAATAGGAAATCAATTTTTTTACATTATTATTCTTTTTTCTTTTAATTATTTATTATGCATTTTATAATTTGGAATATAATTATAATATGAATTTGATGAATGAAAATTAAATTAAAAGTTAAATTTATTTTAATTAATAAAAATAAACTAATTATCAACTATTAATTATTTAAAATAACTAATATAATAAAATGGCCAGACCTCGCGGGCGGACGTGACGCAGGTGATTGATCAGGTGGAGCGCCACTACTGCTCGACTCCCGATGGATCTCTCGTCTCCAAGCCCGCCCACGATCTACAACTGGTACTCCATCTCCTTCTATCTTACTCTCTCGCTCTCTTTTTTTTTCTGTTTTTCCACTTAATTAGTGTGTTTTATTGATCGCTGATGAAATGTTGGTGGATTGAGCGATGTATTTGATTTCTGTTCGCAAGTGATCAAGAAATTGACCTAACTGTTTAATGGACTTGATTTTGGTTTGGTTTTTGTATCATTTCCGATTACTGAAGTTGATTTTTACTAGTTATGAAACTTTGAGGCGAGAGAAGAAATGTTGAGGTAAGGATTGCGTTATTTGGAAACCATGGTGATTGGTCTTTACTTTGATTCTCTATTCCATTTTTAAAATTGATTGAGTTGGTTGATTACTAGCACCCGTCGCAGTGTTACTGTTGTTGTGTATTTCATGCTGTGTTCCTCTGTCGCTTTTCCTTCCCGGCTTCTCCTCCTAACTTTGTAAAATGTGTCTACTAGTGAGATGTTTTCATACTTTTATAAGAAATGTTTCGCTCTTCTCACAATCAGTTGGAGAAGAGAACGAAGCATTCCTTAGAAGAGTGTGGAAACCTCTCCCTAACAGACGGATTTTAAAATCATGAGGCTAAAGAAGACAATATCTGCTAGCGGTGAGTTAAGTTGTTACAAATGGTATTAGAGAAAGACATTGGGCGGTGTGCCAGCAAGGACGCTGGCCCTCTAGGGGAGTGGATTGTGAGATTCCACATTGATTGGAAAAGAAAATGAACCATTCCTTATAAGGGTGTGTAAGCTTCTCCCTAGCAAACGCTATTTAAAATCGTGAGGCTGACAACAATACGTAACGGGCCAAAGTGGACAATATCTGCTAGTGATGAGCTTGAGTTGTTACAAATGGTATCATAGCTAGACACCAGGTGGATTGTGAGATCCCACTTCGATTTGAGAGGGGAACGAAACATTCCTTATAAAAATGTGGAAACCTCTCTCTAATAGACGTGTTTTAAAACCGTGAGGCTGACAAAGATACGTAACAGACCAAAGTAGATAATATCTACTAGCGGTAAGCTTGAACGGTTACAAGTTGAGTGTAATATGTCGAAGTTCCCTAGATTGTAAAAGCACCTGTGTCACAATCAGCCCAACCGCTAATTCAACAAATTATGCAAGTGCTCGTAGAACTGGAAACCTGGAGTAGGTGGTGCAATCGCTTTCTTGGAATCACACCTGACTTTTTATGGCAAACACAGCCCCATCAAACACGCTTTAGTCTATTACGTATTATCATCAGCCTCATGATTTTAAAACGCGTCTATTAGGGGTGGTTTTCACACCCTTAAATGTTTCGTTCCGAACGTTGAAATTTAAAAGAGGGGGAGGGAATCAAATTTAACTATATTTATATTTCCTTTCTTCTTTTCTCTTGGCTTTTATTGAATTAGATCATTTTTCAGTCCAGTACTCTTATATTAAATTCTCATCAGATATTGTTTTTAGCCACTTAATATTTCTGTTCTCAATTTATGAAAGGCCTTACTGATATAGATTATCTGCAACTTGTTCTTATGTTATTATAGGATACAGCCGAATATCAATGGCCCTTTCCCGTGAGATTGATGCTCGTTTGAAGACGAAATGTGATAAGGTAGCTGATGCTTTTGTGATGGATGATATTGGTAGGTCTATTGCTCCTTACCATTTTTGTACAATTTTGCACGCATGTATTATAAAGGTTAACTTTGATGACATTTTTCTGGTTTTCTAGCTATAGTTGTATTTTCTTGATTTTATGTGTCATAATGTTGATAGTTACTTTGTTTGCATGATAAAATGATTGATATGCGTTTTATCCTTGAAACTTCAACCACATTTATCCGCGTGAAGAGTGCCCACATTTATGCTACTTGATCTTGACTTTGCTTTTAGTAGGAAATTCATTATACGATGCATATCGTATGACCTTACTGTTGAGGATTGTTGAGATTGTTGGGAGAGGAGTCCCCACATTGGCTAATTAAGGGGTTGATCATGGGTTTATAATTTAGGAATACTTCTCCATTGGTATGAGGCCTTTTGGGAAAACCAAAAGTAAAGTCATGAGCGCTTATGCTCAAAGTGGACAATATCATACCATTGTGGAGAGTCCGAGTTCCCAACACTTGTATTTATGCAAAGTCATCATCTGGGCACCATAGCACTAGTGTTTGGCTTCCAGAGAGGTCTGGTTGGTTCTGTTGAGGATTGTTGTTGGAGTCCCACGTTGGCTAATTCTCAATTTAGGGAATGATATATAGTTTACAAGTAAGGAATACATCAATATTGGTATTGGTATGAGGCCTTTGGAAAGCCAAAGCAAAATCATGAGAGCTTATGCTTAAAGTGGACAATATCATACCATTGTGAAGAGTCGTGATTTCTAATCGGCTCTTCCGTAGAATTATTTATTTGTTATGTTTTTTTTATACCCCATTTGTGTGTTTTCTCGAGCTTCATTCGGCAGACAGAAAGTTCGCTGAATATTACAATGTATAAATCACAAGAAGTTCATTTTATTTGATCCATTTTGTCAAAGGTTAATTTCAGTTCTTGAGCAGATATTGGGAGTACTGATTAAGCTTGTCAAAGATTTGAAGCTGCAGCATCAACATAAATATGTAATTACTCTTATTTTCTAGCAGAATCGATGGTTAAATTTTCACGAATGGTTTCAGTTATTAATCTTAGTTTGTAATTTTGTAACCTTTGCACATTAACTTGGCTGACCTGAAATTTTGCAGGACGATTTTCAGAAAACTGGGCTGAGCAAAAGGTGCATCCCACGTCAGTTAGAGAGGAAAACGAAGCACCCTTTATAAGGGTGCAGAAACCTCTCTCTAGTTAACACATTTTAAAATCTTGAGGGGAAGCCCGAAAGGGAAAGCCCAAAGAAGACTATATCCGCTAGCGGTGGGCTTGGACCATTACAAATGGTATTAGAGTCAAACACCAGACGATGTGCTAGCGAGGAGGCTAAGCCTCAAAGGGGGTGGACACGAGGCAGTGTGTAAGCAAGAACGTTGGGTCCCAAAGAGGGTGGATTAGGGAGTCCCATATCGATTGAAGAAGGGAACGAGTGCCAACGAGGACGCTGGGTCTCAAAGGAGGTTGGATTGTGAGATCCTACATTGGTTGGAAATGAGAACGAAGCACCCTTTATAAGGGTGTGGAAGCCTCTCCCTAGCCAACGCATTTTAAAACCTTTTGAGGGGAAGGTCAGAAAAGACAATATCTACTAACGGTGGGCTTCGACGGTTATAAATGGTATCACAAAATAAGGTATTTGTTGAGTATAATCTTTTCAGCATACCAGCGCGTTAAGGTAAATATGATTCATAATGTGCTTTTTTACAGAAAATTTCTTGTTGGGGCCAAGGAGGAAGCTCCTATTTCATCGAAGCGGTAAATTTCTATTTATTTATCACATTAGAATATTTGGTTTTAATTAATTATAGTTTAGTATTATTAATTATAAATTTAATTTTAATTAAAATATATAAAGAAATATAATTAATAAACATTAGAAAAAAGTAAGAAAAAGAGAACAAAATATATTAGTAATGAAGGATCAAATCAAAATTAATCTCAAGTGGTTATAAATAATGAATAATAATTAGTTATAATTATTGAAAAACAAATTTTTGTTCTAAATTTAACTAATCCTAATTAATTATTGTTAGCTAATTAGTTTATCATTTTGTAATTACATTCATTTAACAAGTCATTGAAAACTGCTTTGTTTTGCTTGCCTTTATTCATTCCGACTTAGCTTGTTACACGTTGACATGAAACCGATAGGTTACTTGTAGAGGGGAACGAAACATTCTTTATAAGGGAAGCTCCAAAGGGAAATCCTAAAAGAAAGCCTAAAAAGAACCATATTTTTATAAGGGTGTGGAAACCTCTCTTAGACCCGTTTAAAAATTTTGAAGGGAAGCCCGAAAAGGAAAGCCTAAAAATAACAATATCTGTTGTTAGCGGTAGGCTTGAGTATCGAGGTGTAGACCCTCGTTTCGACACAATTGGGAGGCAGTACTATTCAATGGACAATTCACCAAGTTGAGATGGACTTCAAATGCTTGCCAGATCAATCAAGTAAGTGAAATATTTTTCATACAATTTCATATGATCTGCTTGAAGTTTATTTTTATCAGCATCCTGTTCATAATGTCTCTGGTTTTTGTTCTTAAATGATCGGTTTAAATTGATCTCAGCCATTCTTCTGGTTTTTATTAAGTGTTGTTACAAGAAGGAAGGTTAATGTCTCAAAATTGGTTCCTCTATTTGAACTTATAATTATTAGGTCGGAAAGAAATTCTACTTCTTCTCTGGCACAAACACCCTCTACGTGTAACGACTTAGATCCACCGCTACTAGATATTGTCCTCTTTAGATTTTTTTTTTTTCGGACTTCTCTTCTAGGCTTTAAAACACGTCTGCTGGGAGAAGGTTTCCACACCCCTATAAAAAGTGTTTTGTTCTCCTTCCCAATCAATGTGGGATTTCACAATCCACCTTCCTTCGAGGCCCAACATCTTCACTAACACTCGTTCCTTTCTCCAATCGACGTGAGACCCCCTTTAAATCCACCCCCTTTGGGGCCCGCGTCTTTACTGGCACACCGCCTCGTGTCTGTGACTCCCCTTCGGGGAACAGTGAGAAAGCTGGTACATCGTCCGGTGTCTGGCTCTAATACCATTTATAACGACGCAGACCCACCACTAGCCGATATTGTCCTCTTTGGGCTTTCTCTTTCGGGGTTCCCCTCAAGGATCTAAAACAGTGTGCTAGGGGAAGGTTTCCACACCCTTATAAAGAGTGTTTTGTTCTCTCCCCCAATCAGACATCATACTACGAGAGACCCATAGCTCGATCTCAAACTGAAAAAATCCAGAAAATTTGTGCTCTACCCGGCTTTTCATTCTATTTTGTAGAGACCCAAGGAAATTTGTCTGCTATAAATGTTTTAATCATATTTGCGGCACAAAAAAAAAAAAAAAAAATTAAGATGACGGCTGTCAAAAGAACAGTAAGGGATGAGGAGGGGAGGCTCTCGAAACCAAACGAGACTCAAAGAATGATGTCGGGTAGGGGTGGGGCCCATTCCTGCTAGCGGGGTTTTTTCTCTCTACTTCCTCCCTCATTTCCGGTCTAAACTGAGATTCTTAGAGCAGGTCGGTGGGTCCCGTCCACCACATGCACCCCTGGATTGGCTTGTTTCAGGAAAAACCAGTCGCAGCTAAACGAACAAAAACTCACCACTTGACCACTTGGACCGAACCTCCCGTCTCTCTGGTTCACGTTCTCCAATCCCTACTTTTTAACAGTATTGTCTAGATTCATATCGGGTCGGGTCGGGTCGGGTTACAATCAGATCCGGATCCAGGGCGAGTTCGCGTTCAATGAACGCGTCAGTTAATTCACCGCCCTTTTTTGGAACCATATTCTTTTGCCTTCAATAATACGTTACACGTCAGCGTCGATCTTGACCGTCCATTGCTAACAAGATCAGACCGTCCACGTCATCCTCCCAGAAGATTCCAGCTCAATCGTACGGGTACTAATTCGTGGTGGGAACGGAAACGGAAACGGAAACGGACTCTTGCCACCTTCCCCTCAAAGCTCTATAAATACTTCCCATACCCTTCAGTAATGTTCTCATTCCTCTCATCGTTCTTCCTTCCTTGTTCCTTTGATCTCTTTCGCGCGTTCTTGGTCTTTCGCTTTCTGGTGAGTTTCTGGTTCCTTCTGAATTCGTAGATTTTGTTCTTCCTTAGCCTGGATTTTCTTCTTTTTGTTTGTTTATGTCTGAGATTGATCGTGGTTAGGGTTTTGTTTATATCTCTTTGACTTTTGTGTTTTTTCTCGCAATTCCGAATTTGTTTGGTAAGATTCTGGTATTGCTTCGTTTATGGAAGCCATGGATATTGCTTCGTTTGTATCCTGCTGGAATTTTGTCTTTCTTTCATGTTGTCAAGGGTTTTTTTATACGAGACGCATGTTTTGATCACTTAGGTCTCCAGTTAAGTCGTGGATGAATTGGATATTGCGAATTTTTGCTATATGTAAATTCTGGAGTTTTTGTTATGCCTTTCTCTCAATCCCGAATGTTTTCAGATCACCAGTTGTTCTGTTTGGTTTGAGCTTCATCCGAACTTGATTTTTGGCTATTTGTAAATTTCGGAGTTTTTGTTATGCCTTTCTCTGAATCCCGTCAGATTACCTGTTGTTCTGTTTGGTTTGAGCTTCATCCTAACTTGATTTTCGGCTATATGTAAACTTTGAAGTTTTTGATATGCCTTCCTCTAAATCCCATATGCTTTCAGATTCGCAGTTGTTCAGTTTGGTTTAAAGCTTCATCCAAACAAAGTTCATGGTTGAATTAGACTTCCAGATCCCATCTGCTTTCGATCCATTCGCCGACGCCAAGGATTCTGATGCCCCCGGAACTAAAGCTTATGTTCATATCCGCGTTCAGCAGAGGAATGGCAAAAAGTGCTTGACTACAGTTCAGGGTCTGAAGAAAGAGTTCAGCTACGAGAAGATCCTTAAGGACGTGAAGAAGGAATTCTGCTGTAATGGTAACGTTGTTCAAGACAGAGAATTGGGGAAGATAATCCAACTTCAAGGCGATCAACGCAAAAACGTGTCTCAGTTCCTTGTCCAGGCTGGTCTCGTTAAGAAGGATCAGATCAAAATTCATGGGTTTTGAGTAACTTTCTGATTGCTGTTTGATGAATGATCTTTGAAGGAGTCTGTTGATTTATGCTTTGCTTTTGGGGTATGTTCTGTTCTTAGTTTCTAAGAGTCGGTGTGTCTTAGTCTATTGTGTTGTTGTCAATGGATTCTGTGATGGCGTGTGATGGAATTTTCTTATCAATAAAATATTGTTCGATTCTGCGTATTTTTCCTTGCAACTTTGATGTGTTCAACGTGGTTTTACTTTCTGTCCTTGCAACGTATGTAGACTGGTCGCATGATTGGTAAGGTTGTTTTGACCCTAACCATTCCAAGTCCTCGTTGGGGAAGAACAAGAGCCTTCGTTTAGATAGCATAACGATTTAGTTCTTTCTTTTATCACTTAGCTTGGGAGCCGTGCGAGTTGAAAGTCACATGCACGATTTTGAATGAGAAAAAGAAAAGAGGAATCCTCTGCACGATGTTGAATGAGAGAAAGAAGTGAGGAATCTTCTTTTCGACTCATGACTCTCTCACTCTAGTCGTCGTTTTACTTTCTGTTACTTCGAAAGTAGCTGTTAGCCACTCGAATTTTCGTTGCTATTACTCAAACAAGCATAAAACATATGTTTGCGTATTCGTCCATCGGTCCAATTGGTATGTAAGCATGATAACTTATATGCTGTTCTATATCGCCATGAATCTAGAACTTTTGCTCGCATTGTATCATTTGGTCATATGCTATTCTATATCGCCATGAATCTAGGAACTTTTGCTTGCATTGTATCATTTGGTCTATGTACCGGAACTGATAACATTCGAGATTATGCAGGATTATTGGGAAGAACAAGAAATCGAGATTTAGTTAAAGGGTTCAATAAGCAATCGATATTTCACGACCAAGGGTGTAGTACTGTTTGTAGTAGCGGTCCTTATATATCGTATTAACAATTGAAAGATGGTCGAAACAAAAAATCTCTATTTGACAGAATTCTATACCTATGAATTTCATTGGACCGAGAAATGATACATTGGAAGAACATTGATTGGGAAGAACAAGAAATCGAGAGAGAACGATTTAGTTAATTCTAGACGAAGCTTTAACTACATAGGTTGGTTATGAGCTTTCATTTTTCATATCAACTAATTTAGCTCTCGAGTCGGAAAATGGAATCCAAATGACACT